CGAAGCTATTGGGCATGATTATTCATTAAAACTAATATTAGCTTTTATAATAAAAATAAATACAGTAATGACAAGGGTTTGAGTTCTGAAGATATTGCAACTTATATATGTGCATATATATGATTAATTTAAGTATGCAAAATGCAGATTTAAGTTAGTGTTTATTACCAAATTTAAAATAATAAAACCAATATTATTGTGCAGCCTATACGAACATAATCATTTTATTATTTTATTATTTTCTGTAAACTCGTAATAACAAAAGGCATTTCAAACTATTTTCTGTGTATTTATATATTAGTTATTATTATTTCTGGCATTTGTCGGAGAGTGTTTTAAATCATCTCAGGAAAAAAAAGGGAAACGGTTTATCTTGCATTTTTGTGGTTTAATCTACATGTGAAACAAAAGGAGGAAAAAAATGGTTTCTAATTTAACCTTCTCCCCTTTGCTTGAGCAGAAAATGTGCTGTCCAGCACAGCACTCGTGGAAGCAAAGGATGCGCCTACATTAATATACATTGTGATCTCTGCATTCTATCCCTTGCAGTCTCCCCTGGGTGCTTTAGTCTTTCCTTAAATCCTGGAGATATTAAACCCGAGCTGTTCAGTCATTTTGCAGGAGGTGGGGAGTAAGTCTAAGTCCATATCTTAGATATCCTCCTCTCAGACAAGGCAATAAAACAAGGATCAAACAAACCGGAGCAATTCGGAGGCTAACAGAGAACCTTTAAGTGAAGTAACCTTGAAATGATCATCTTTCCCAAAGACTAAAAGAACGGTTCGTTCCAACATTACCTGATGTCATATATTTCCCAGTTTCAGCAGAAAACATTATTAAATGGTTTCATTACTCCATTTACCTAGTAACATAGGTACCATACAAAAAGCTAAATAAAGGGAACAATTTGAAATTAAATTGTGAATATTTTACTTCTTTTATGTGTAAACAAAGCCAGTTTATCTCTTGACTTTGGTTCCCCATCCTCTTACATTTGGTCCTGTTATCTAAGTTAATTTACCGTCAGAAATGTAGTGAGATAATGTAAAAGTGTAGTCATTTTTAACCGTACGCAATAGATATATCTTTTCACCTCTATAGAGCTGTGCTCTATGTTTTAACATGTTAGATTGAACAACGGTTTATTATTATTATTGATATTAATATAGCACTCAATTATTCCACAGCGCTTTATAATATTTAACAATAAATGAGACAATCATAAAATGTTACAGGAACAATAGGTTGATGAGGACCCTGTTCAAACGAGCTTACAGTCTAGAGGAGGTGATGATGTTACAACTCTACTTTAAGGCAGTCAAATAGGAATATTAACCATACGTACACAGAGAAGGGACTGCATTCAGGTGAAAATTCATTTTTCATCATAAGAGTGCAAGGGCTTGACAAAGGTCATATCGCGTGACAGAAACGTCACATGTGCTACAGTGTTCCGTTAACAGTCTGCTGTCAAAACAACTTTGAGTGTCTGTACTTTCTACTAATTTCTACATATGAGTACTACGGCATATATTAATATATCGATATCCTATTTTATACTGTATAACTTGTATATCAGCTTGACAATGAGGAACCGTATAATGATATTGGAGTTTACACTCCAACTTTTCCTATCACTAATTGGAATAAGATATTATTATTTACATCAGTCATTTTTTATGTTTCTAGGAAATGCAAGAAATGTTGTTGAATTACGTAAAGAGGGTATCTCTGATCAGACATACCTCCCTAGTCTCTTAGGAGGAGAACATCCTTTCCTATAAGTTCAGTGTGTTTCGCAGCTTAATAACACTCACATTAAATAGTTCTATGAGTGCATCATAGCTCTTAAAAGCAATAAAAATTCACAGTAATTGGTTTTAAAACTGTAGTAAACTTGTTTATAGAAATGCTTACATACAGAAAGGAGGAGATTTCTTTGTTTTTTCCTTCTTTCGTGCCTTTCTCATCTTTGCATATACACAATATTTTTGCTTTGTTTTCCAACAGGAAAATGTTCTTATTCACTTTTTGCACCACTCTAAATTTGGCAGTGTTTGGAAAAGGAAAATTCTGCATGAAAACCATCAATTTTTAAATCGCTTTTAGAACGTGTGAATAAATACGATCAAAATAATGATGGAATTTGACCATCACTTTTCAGAATACTTTGATAAATCTCCCACAATTAGTCCAGCTTTTATTCTAACTGACTTGTTCAAGTAGGCTACTACTACTCCCAACAAAAAGTGATAAATCGCTAACAATGGCCTTAAAGAGTCAGGACAGGTTGAGGTTTACAAACCGCAATGCAAGGCCACCAACCAAAACTACACATGCAGAGAGTGCTGCCCCTCGCATTGGCATAAATGAACCGTAATATAAATATATATACACACTCAATGCTGTGAGCACATTTAATGATATACACACTCAATGCTCTTTATGCTGAATTTTCTATGTTCTAAGAAATGGTACAAAATTACCACTGAAGTCTTAAAATTACTTATATTTTTTATATAGTTCCCTAACCTATTTATTGAGGATTGTTTTGTGTGTTTGTTTGCTTAACGTGTGAAAAATACAGTATCAGACTCCATTGACAATTTGCAATATTGTAAAATACAAGATATTGGAATGGAGCTCATAGAGTATTTAGGGTATTGTCCTCTATATTTAATATAGAATTTTATGTTCCAATGGTAGTTCTCGTTACTATGTAATAACATATCAAATCTGAGAGGAGATAATTTTGGAATCTAGTTACTCTACTTTCACATTTGTCACTTTTTCCTTCTGATTATGTCATCTGCCAGGTTGTCCCTTTTTTTCTACTAATGTTCAGGGTGATTTATCGCTTTTTCACGTGTGATTTCCACCGATATCTAATGTCTGCTTCCTTTGGAGAGTAATTGTTACCCTTGGAATGAACGTGAGAATTATAATTTGAGATGGAGGTGCATAATCACACACACAGCAGAAGCTTCCAATCTTTTTTATAATACTCGTTAAATTTTGCATGTTTTATCTCCCTAACTAACTTTATCCCATAAGTAACTATACAGCAGGACGTTAGGACACCGCAGGGAAAGTCTACTTGTGAAAGCTGTTGGCTGACGTCGAACTCGCAGAAATCTTTGCTTCCTGATTACCGTATTTATCTGCGTATAACACGCACCGGCGTATAACACGCACCTCATTTTAAGAAGGAAATTTCAGGGGGAAAAAACTTAAATTTCAAATAAAGAACTTCTTACCCCCTTCTTACTCCCCCCTCCCTCTTCTTACCCCCGCTACCTCCCCTCCCCCCTCTTTTACCTGCTACTCCCCCTCCCTCTTCTTACTTCCCCTCCCCCTCCCCTCTTACCCTTCTTGCTCCCCCTCCCCCCTCTTCTTACTCCCCCACCCCCCTCTTCTTACCCCCCCTCCCTCTTCTTACCCCCCCTCCCCTCTTCTTAACCCCCCTCCCCTCTTCTTACCCCCCTCCACCTCTATTTACCTTCTTACCCCCCTCCTTCTTCTTACTCCCCCTTCTTACTCCCATGTACTTTTTACACCCCTCAGCTCTCTTTTGCCCCACTCTCTTTTTATCCCCCCCACTCTCTTTTTACCCCCTCCCCTGTAGCGTGGCCGAGCTGCTCTGCTGTCCGCGGTGCCCGGCCGGAGTGATAGGAAGGTGCACGCTCAGTGTGCACCTTCCTGTCAGTCCGACCGGGTACAGGAAACAAACTCCTGTTCCGCGCGGAACAGGAGTTTCTGTTTCCTGTACCCGGTCGGACTGACGGCCACGCTACAGGGGAGGGGAGGTGAAAACCAACTCAGGCGGCTGCAGCATTTAAAGGTCCGGCGTATAACACGCACCCATAATTTGCCCCCTATTTTCAGGGAGAAAAAGTGCGTGTTATACGCCGATAAATATGGTATTTGTACAATTGTGTTATTGAAAAAAGGAAGCGATGTAGGTTAAGAGGGAAAGACAGAAAGAGTGGACTTACTGAGCAAAAATGATTTATTATAAAAAAAAAAAAGCAGAAAAAACACCCAAAGGATTCATTAACAAGATTTTATAAAAATCGAGTCCAACATTACTAACTGTAACCTATCATTGCACCTGGAGTGCCTGAAATGCCCCATATATTTCTCAACAGACCGTGGGCAAGATTATGACAGAGGCAACCGCATATTCAGTTATGGCTGTAGTGCAATATGCAAAACTGAGCCTGCAAAAATGTTTCCTTTTACTTAGTCCAAAAGCTAGATAACTCAGAAACGCTGTCAGTATCTGGAGTGTTGGCTAACTCCTTCTCTCTGTGTGTACATTGACTTTTATTATGCCAACGGTCAGGTTTGTCAGTATGCATTCTACAAAGGAATGGTAAATGACACACCACACACAATGTATTATAAAACTGTCTAAACTTGGTGTCAGCAAGGAATAGGAGCGCAATAAGCACACAACATGATTTCTTTGCAGGCTGTATTATACCCACAGATGCAGGGCCGGACTGGGAAAAAAATTAGGCCCGGGCATTTTTCAATTAGAGCGGCCCCCCAAGAAGGGGGCGGGGCCAGAGAGGGTGTGTTTTGTCATCACTAATGACAAGTACGCCCCTTCTGAAAGTGAGCATGTTGGTTCAATGCGCAGAGCCCCGCTGAAGAGCTCTGGCATTAGAAAAAGGCCCTGAATTTGTTCTGCGCAGCGCAAGCAAATGTAATAACATGCTTGCGCTGTGTAGCTTTTAAATTGTCTCTGGTGTCTCCACAAGTGGGATACCAGAGGACAAAAGGGCCAGGAAAGCGTATGGTGCATGTGTTTGGCGCATGCTAGTGGGATTGTGTGTGTGTAGAGTGTGGTGTGGTATTGTGTAAATAGGTCAATTTTGTGGTGTAATATGTGTGGCTAGGGGTTGTAGAGAGTGCGTGTATAGGGGCATAGTGTTATAGGGGATGTAGCGAGTGTGTACATACGGGCAGTAGTGTGTGTGTATAGGTGACGTAGCGTGTGTAGGGGTTGTAGAGAGGGTGTGTTTAGAGAATGTTGTATGTGTTTGCTTACAAGGAATGTAGTGTGTGTGTAGGTGGTGCAGTGTGTGTGTAAAGGACCCAGAGTGTGTGTAGAAGATTGTGTGTGTGTGTGTGTGTATGTGTAGAGGATTAAGAGTGCATATAGGGTAAGGGATCTAGCGTGTATCTGGAGCGTTATGTGTGTAGTGGTGCAGTGTGAGCGCTGCTCTAGTGTGTGTGTATATATAGTTAGAATATATTTGGACGTATTGTATGTGTGAGGTGCGCAGTGTGTTTGTGTAAGAGGGGTGCTGTGTGTGAGGGTGTTTTTATCTGCCGTCACATTCTAGGTTTCTAATTTTCTTTGTCTGTTAATGTTAACTCACTGAGGGTTATTTTATATATATATATATAGTTATATATATATATATATATATATATATAAGTATATATATGTGTGTGTGCTGTATGCGTGTGCGTGCTGTATATGTGTGTGTGTGCTGTATATGTGTGTGTGTGCTGTATATGTGTGGGGGGTGCTCCGTCTGAGGGTTGCCCGCGCCTGAGGGGGCTGTGGGGTGTTCAAGTGGGGCCGTGGGTGCCCGCGGGGGGGCTGTGGGTGTCTGCGGGGGGCTGTGGGTGTCTGCGGGGGGGCTGTGTGTCTGGGGGGCTGTGGGTGTCTGGGGCCAGGGTGTCTGGGGGTGCTGTGGGTGTCTGGGGATGCTGTTTGTGTCTGGGGGATGCTGTTTGTGTCTGGGGGGGTAATGTGGGTTTCTGGGGGTGCTGTGGGTGTTTGAGGTGCTGTGGGTGTCTGGGGGTGCTGTGGGTGTCTGGGGGGTGCTGTGTGTGTGTGTGAGGGGGCTGTTAGGGAATTTATTTTAAATAAAAAAATTTTTATTTATTAATAATAAAAAAAAAAGTTATGTCCTCCCCCCCCCCTCCCTTCTTACCTTTATCCTGGGAGGGGGGAGGAGGAGATCCGTTCTCACATGCTTCCCTGGCGGTCCAGTGGTGAGAGTGAACTCTAACCTGCGGGTTAGAGTTCACTCTCGCGAGAGCTGAGCGTTGCCGTGGTAACCGCGGCAACGCTCAGAATCCCGAGAGGACCCGGCGGAGCTGCTGGTTAGAGCTCCGCCGGGTCCTCCCTCACCCAGCCGGCGGCCGCATCTCCATTCCTGTGGGCCGATGAGGGAGATCTTTGATCTCCCCACCGGCCCATGGAGGCGCACAGCAGGGCAGGCGCTCGGGTAGCGCTGGCCCTGCACGGTCTGGCAGGGGAGATCCTGTGATCTCCCCTGCCGGCCTCGGCCCCACGGCCATCGCGGCCCACCGGGCATTTGCCCGGTATGCCCGATGGCCAGTCCGGGCCTGCACAGATGTATACACATTATGGTTAACTGAATTCCCACAAAGCCACAAAGTTTGTTACAAATAACCAACCATACTGCTGTCATTAAAAAGGCTTACCTACCCCCATCCAATCCCACCAAAAATGAGTATTTCATAAAATGCACAAAACTACAGCAGTGAAGTCAGTTCCTGACGCTGAAGCGGACCTGTTTAGACAAGATTGCGGCACCCATGAGGGACAGGTTCAGGTAAATCAAACTCACCTTTACCTGGCCTCCCTTCGGCCACCAACCCCCTAGCAGCGATATCATCCCTGAAGGTCTTTGCAAAGTCCCCAGACGATGACCGTTTTTTTTTATATATATATAAATTAGCCTTGTAAGCCCTATGGCAAGTCTTCCTATTTTGCAAGTCAAAGGGATAGGGTGCAGAACACCCCTTGCACCGCCTTGGTATACTTGTGTTTGTGTGTGTGTCGATGTATATACACTTGAATGTGCCTGTGTATGTTGACGTCTGTGTGATTTTGTTGCTAATAAACGTCTTGTGTATTAAGTTATTTGTGGATATTTCTGTATGCACATGTAGCCAATGAGATTTTTGTAAGTGGCTTGTTCCGTATTTGTTGGTAATCATGGATATTATTAGGTTGTATATAATAACCTTCAATGGAGCTCTAATGATCTTGTATTTCTGCATATAAAGGTGGACTGTTACAATTTCTTTAATGAGTGGCACATGTTTTAAAACTCTTCAGTGTAGCATTTCATCAAACAAAAATGATGTTGCTCAGTTATCTTTATCCCTATTTTCAAGAGAACAGTTTCTATCTCTGCGTCTGTTTCTTATCCTTGTCTGTTTGCATTTTGTTTTTCACTGTGTGCTATTATCTTTTCTCCTGGTTGTACGGTACCACTCTCTCTCCCTTGATTCCCTGCTTTGACATTCTAACTTTGCTCTTTTCTTGGACCAATGGATAATGTATTCAATCCCTTTAGAGTGTTCTAAGGGGGTGTTAGATGTTGCTGGAGTGGCTTTTTCCCTTCAGACTCCAAATGAAAGTGAGTGAAGAGATTCTTCCCTGATAACTGCTTTTGATGTGAAGGAGATTATTATTGCTCCACACATTCTTATCCCTGGGGCTATAGAAATGAGAGTTTTGATGGGGAATTTAAAGAGACATTCACAAGTTGCCGAACAACTAGACGTGAAGATCAGGTTCTGAGGAACATCTGATACAGACTGTTTAACAGAGACAAAGACAGTCTTTTAACGTTTTCTGTGGAAAACAAACAATGCTAAATAATGGGTTTGGGTTCTATGGGAACTATAATCTGTCATCAATGTTTTGTGAAAATCATATATGTTTGAATAACGAGTACTTGGGGCTGTATTTAATGTGTTAACAATACTTATTATTGCAATATGCTTTAACATATTCACATAACACGTCAATGTCCAAATAGTGCTTTCAAAATGTTGAGTCCTGCCATTACAGTAAGTCCTCCTTTTAACCTTCACACTGCTCTAACACACTCTACATCGCTTAAACATTAGTCCCTGTACTATATTTACACCTATCACTAAACCTTAACCAGTACAGTACACTATCACTAAACACTAACTCCCTACACTTAACTAAAACTACCACTAAACATTAACCAGTACAGTAGACTATCACTAAACACTAACTCCCTACACTTAACTAAAACTACCACTAAACATTAACCAGTACAGTAGACTATCACTAAACACTAACTCCCTATACTTAACTAAAACTACCACTAAACATTAACCAGTACAGTACTCTACCACTAAACACTAACTCCCTACACTTCACTAAAACTACCACTAAACATTAACCAGTACAGTAGACTATCACTAAACACTAACTCCCTACACTTAACTAAAACTACCACTAAACATTAACCAGTACAGTAGACTATCACTAAACACTAACTCCCTACACTTAACTAAAACTACCACTAAACATTAACCAGTACAGTACACTATCACTAAACACTAACTCCCTACACTTCACTAAAAATATCACTAAACATTAACTGGTACAGTACACTAACACTATCATTAAACACTAACTCCCTACACTCCACAAACCCTAACCTAAAATTTCACGTGATTTAAAATATAAATAATTTGTGTAATAGGGGGGAAAATGCTATTTATGATTTCCATAATACATGATCCATTGTTATACATCCCATATACATTTATAAATGAAGGTTCGAGGCTCTGGTAATGTCGTAATAAACCACAAGACTGAAGGTCAAATGATTTCTGAGTGTCTACTAGTGTAGGCTTTTCCATAGTGGCAGTTTATGCAGCACCTTCCCCATTGTTGTTAGAAAAAAACATGTTATGTCCAGCATTATTATTTTATTAGACATAAAAGTGCCCCATTCTCTGTGTACAGACCCTTCAGAAATGCTTATCCTACTCTAATGGGATTCCGTCCTCAAACCTTACCTAACCTAGGTGTGAGGAATGCCTATAGTTAATTTACTAACCGATATCCGTATCACAAGAAATTACGCAACTTTACAGCACACACTGATGCCGGAAAGACACACCCAAAGACTACACATTGACATGCATGTGTCATTCTATCTATGCCATACAAAGACTATATGTGTGTTTCTGCACTTGGGTGTTTGAGACATAGGTTACCCACAACCAATTAAATATGTTTCAGAATGCAATGGATCTGTTTCATAAACCACTTTTATGAAATGAAAATCAAACCGAAAAGGCCAAAGGTGATAACAAAGACCTGAGGAATCGGTAGAAAAGAATCATTCCTATTTTTGGCCCAGCTATGGTTTTCAGGCCACTATCATTAATGATCTAGTATTTCATAGCCAATAAGGTACACATTAGCATAGTTTTGAAAAGAATATAAAAACAGAAATATCCATTCATTTAAAAAAAAAAAAAAAAAAAAATACATACGGCAAAATATCCATTATCTATAATGCAGAAACTTTGTAAAATGAATACAGATAAATTATTGAATGCATTGCAAGAAAGATTGATTCCCTTTAGAACATAAACACCGTGACTTCTGAATTCATTTGTTAAATAGGATTCCAACTTGTATTCTCATTGACTGTTTAAAGCTAATTGCTGTGTTTTTGTGATCTTCAACTTCCGTAAAACTGCCCTGGCCTGTTTTGACTTCATTTTGATTGGTTATTGTCATTGAACAGATATTGCAAGAAATTTACAAGCCCCGATGCACTGTAGTGATTTTAGTGTAGGAAAAATTAGCACAATACAAATGTGCGTAGAATGGGAAAATCCAGGCCGTGAGAGGTCCGTGAAATATAGAAAAACAAACAAACTAAAACAAATACTTTTTTCTTCACTGCCATGTGATACTACATTTTAAAGTAAACTAAAAAATGAATTCTCGCTTGCAAAGGAAAATCACTCTGAGCCAAATTGTGTGCAAAATTCTAAAATATTAGACAGTCTTAGCAACTATAACACTGATGTTAAGGTGGATTTTATTGCTCTTATCTCTGATTTGTCCTTCCTTTTTACAAATGATAGGTGAGTAAAACA